AGCCCCTGCAGAGCCTGGGAGCCCTGGCCTGTCTGTGCAGGGGAGCACAGTTTAGTGAGAGGAAGCAACCCAGAAAGCAAACACTTCCTAGCCTTTCCCTTGGATCCCTTTCATTCCCTTTTTACTAGCTAATATTGGATCCCTTGAATTCCCCTTGCACTAACTGATACTTTAATAGAGGATGTTCGTAGTATTGTGTGAATGCCAATAGATCAAGTAGGTTTTTTTGTGTTCTTTTTAACTCTTGATTCTCTTTGCTACTAGTTTTTTTTGTAACTCTCATTGCAATAAAAGATATTTTGTAGTGTTTGAATGACTGTTGCACTTGTCTTTTTTCCGGCCATGGATCCTTGTGACCCTGGGACAAGCAGGGAGAAGTGCAGCTCCCAGCAGCTGGGTCAGTGCTGGCTGGACTCGGGGCTGGGAAAGGTCCCTCAGTGGGAGGGCAGGTGAGAGCCCAGGGTGGCCCTGGCAGCCCTGGGGCTGGGAACAAGTGCAGTGGGCAAAGGAATGGAGCCTGGAGAGCTGGGCAAACAGCTGCAGGAGTTTCAAGGAGAAGCAGGAAACTGGACAAGCTGCAGCAGCTCCTTCTGTGTGTGTGGAGAAGCAGCTCTAGTGCAGCCACGAGTGAGGTGGGAAATGAACCTCAGGAGGCTGGGAATGAGTCCCACCAACTGGTTCCAAGGGGATAGACTCTTCCCACGTGTCTGCCCTGGCCTGCTGTGAATGTCTTTGTGTTGCAGCTCAATAAAGCCTCACTGAAATGGTGATTGTGTGATTTTGGTGTCAGTTCCTCTTCCCCTTGCCCAGTGGCTCCATCCCTGCCTTGTGCCTAAATGAACTCTTGCCCTGCAGCAGTTCTCTGCTGCTCTCAGAGGGTGGAGCTGAGGCCCCTGAGCAAAGGGCAAAGGGATCCATCCAAGCCAGGCCCGTGCTCCCCCCCCTGCATTCCTGCAGCATCCCGTGTTTGCAGTTGCCAGCACTGCTGGACACACAGCCTGTTCCTGAACAAACCCCCTTCCTGTTTTCTCCCCTCCTCTGATGCTCCAGGTGCCAAGGCCCCTGTTTTTGAGGGGCACTCCTGCTCTGCTGCCCCCCCATTCTTTCTAAATCAAGAGCCAGGAGCCCCAAGTGCAGAGAGGGCTGCAGGGAATCAGTGGCAATGCCTGCCTGTGTCTCCCTGTGTTCCCTGCAGTTCTGCTGCCTGTTCTCTCCTGGGCTGGAGAGCCCTGCCTGGCCTGTGTTTCTTGGAGGAGAGCGATGTTATTCCCTTTGTCCCCAAGGTGTGTTGGTGGGCACTCATTTTCTGACAGGCAGTGCCCTTTTCCTGTTGCCTTTCCCAAGTTTTCCCAAGTGCTGCCCAGCACGGGCCTTGGTGTGCTGAGGCAGTGATTGCCAGGGGGAAGGGGAGCCTTGGCCTCAGCTGCCCAGCTCGGCTGGGTGGCACAGGATTGGGGTGGCCTGGCAAGGCACCAACGTATTTCTGAGTTCTGGAGTGCCTTGAAACCTTTCCCTGTCAGGTTTCTCTCCCTGATTTCCTGGGGTCCAGCATCCCAGGTGTCTCTTCCTTTGTCCCAAGAAGTCCAATGGCAGAGGGCTGAATAACTCCCAAGGGGGGTTTGGAATGAGAAGGCTTCTGTTCCAATGGGGCAAGGAATGCAGTAAGAAAAAGGAGCCTCCTTTTAGTGCCTGAAACGGAGAGGAATAAAAATGCTGGCAAAGGTCCCATTTCCTTTGGTGTCTCCCCTGGATTTCTCCTGGATGAACGCCTCTAGTGAGCAATCAGAAGAGAAGGGTGAAGAACAGGAGCCTTTGAGTGTCCCAGTGCACTTAACTGTCTGCCTCGGGGTGTGAGCAGCCAAAGGCAAGAGGCTCCAGCCCCGCCGGCCGTGCTGGGGGCTCCTGGTCCTGCCCGTGGGCTGGGGTAAGTCAGAGGGACACGTTTCCCTTCTCCTGCCTGTTGGCATTTGCTCCCTGGGCAAGGGAAGGTTTGAGATCAGCTGAGGTGGTCTGTGGGGTGGAGAATGAGCCTCCCTAGGTACAGATGAGCTGCTTAGACATGGATAGGTGAGGAAAATGTTGGGAGTAAAATCTGGGATAATCTGTCCCAGAGAGAATGAATATTTTGGGGTAAAGTGAGGCAGTCAGGAGGGGGCAGGGAGGGAAATTTTTGTTTGTCATGCCTGAGGTAATCTGCAGCAGAGAGAATGTACCCTAACCCTAACCTTAAGAGGCAGGCAGGAAGATCAGCCAAAGAAAGCATGTTTCCTTTATTATCATAAATTCACAAGCTTTTTGGAAGCAAGTATGGTCATAAATATTGAAGGGCTACCAGTCTCACATTGCTAAAATGGACAACACAGAGACCTTAGAGACAGAGTTTCTGCATATTTCTGCAACAGCAGTGTGGTCAGATTTAGAATATATTCATGGATTGGCACTAAATTATATGTGTACACATAAAGTGCTTTTGAATACTTGATAGGTAGTAAGTTGTAAATTAAGAGGTAATTGTTGCACTAATAATAATTGTCAGGGTTTGATGCTCCTTGTTGTCAAGAATATCACTTCCAAAATGTATCAGTGCATTCAGCTGAGAGGGCAAAACAAAAGCAAAAAAAAAAATAAACAAAACCCAAAATCAAAACACAACCCCCAAACAAAGCGGAAACCCCACAAAAAACCCAAGCAAAGCAAAGCTCTGTGAGGTCCCTGCCAGCCCCCCATTCCGTGGGAATGGCCCCACGATGGCCCCGCGGGGCCGGGCGGGTCCTGCCCCCTGCCCTGCCCCGCCGTGCCGGGCCCGGCCATGCGGCTGCGGCCGCCGCTGCTGCTGCGGGGGGCGGCCCGGGGGAGAGCGGGGCAGGGCAGCGGCCCGGGGCAGGTGAGCGGTGGTGGGGACGGGCCAGGGTCAGGGCCAGGGCCAGGGGAGCGCTGGCAGGGCCGGGCAGCGCTGGCAGGGCCGGGCGCGGGCGGCGGAAGCGCGGCGGGAGCGCCGCTCGGCCTCTTCCTGCGCGGCGGGCACGGGGGATGCAGCCTGGGCTGCTCTGACCTTGTCCCCAAAACTGCTGCTGCTGCTGCTGCTGCTGCTGCTGCTGCTGCTGCTGCTGCTGCTGCCCGGGCAGTGCCCCCCGGGGCGATCCTTCCCTGCTCTGGGTGATGGAAGGAGGGAGGGAGGGAGGGAAGGGGGGCACCCCCGGCCCCGCTGATGCGCTCGGTGCGGGCTGAAGGTACCCGCAGACAAAGAGGAGCAGCTCCGGGCTCAGCCCTGCGGGTTCTGCCTCCCGGCAGCTCTCCAGAGAAATCCTCGGACTGTGTGTAAGGCACGCTTTTATCACGGCCGGGGAGATGAAGGGGGTTTTGCCTTCTGTATTTTGACTTGTCTTTGTTTCACTGGTCCGAGGGGACCGGCAGGAAGGCGATGGGTGTCCTTAAGGATATTTGAATGTCCAGGCTGAAGAACTAAGGAGGGTTTCATTTGTTTGTTTTTACTACTTTCGGTTTTGTTTTTGTTTTGTTCTGTTTTGTTTTTTCCTTCCTGTCTCCGAAGCTGGAAAATGAAACAAAAGGGAAACTTCAGAAGCAGATTTGTCGAGTTGTTCTGGATCACTTTGAGAAGCAGTACACGGCAGAGCTGGGAAATGCCTGGAGCAGTGTCAGGTCTGTTGTTCTGGGGAGATGGGGAGGGAAGGAGAATCACACAGCCACTAAAGAACATTCCTTGCAATGAAAAGTCGTGATCAGAGTCTCAGAAACCATGTAATTCCTCTGAATGCCCTCTTTGGTTTATCCTCTTTGAATTAAAAAGTAATTTAAATTAAATGCCTCCATTGTTGTTGGGTTTTTAAATATATCTATACAAAAGCATAGGTGTATAGCTTCAGTTTAACTGAATCAACTTAAAAACTCTCTTAGTTTGGATCAGTGTTTTTCCTGCTTTAGGCAGTGGATACTCCTGAGGAGTATCCTTTGAGACTAAATGAAAAATTGCAAAGAGGAATTCAAATGGAAAAGGGGGGAAATCCATGGGGAATAGGCCTGGAGAAGTGAACTGAAGGGCAAACCAGAACGTTTCTACCACACAAGGACTGCTTTCTGACTGTCCTCCAGGAATATCTACTGCTTTAAGTTTTCCTGGCCCGCTGTTTGCAGAACATAAAATGTGAAAAAGAACAACTGTAAAAACTGTATGCTACAGTGCTGGCTGGAATGGCCTTTGCAAAGGTGATGTGATTCTTTTTGCTGTGATATTTGCAGCTAATATTGCAGTTGTTCTTTGTCCCTAGGGAGGTAAGTCGTAAGTGGATGGAAAGAGCGTTATGCTTCATCAGATATATCTTTTGCAGGCATTTGTTAGAGTTAAGAAAAACGGAGAACATCTTGTTTCAGAAGAAATAAGGTGTTTCAAATACAATTAGAAAAATGATGTCTTGCTTCCCTATTGAAATTATTTTCCTGTGTACTCTTCTTAATCAAGTCGAACCAAAATGTTTTAATTTCTGATTACACCAGGACCATCCAGTGGGGGGATTGTAAGTAAAGGGTTTCTTGGAAAGGGTAACTTGACTTATTTGTCAGATTATTAAGCAGCTTTTCCTTTTTTTCCCCGCAGAGATGTCCTCACAGATCCCCTGTGCTGGCAGCACTCGGTTCTGCTGAACAGGTTCAGCCCGTGCCCTGAGCTGGAGAGCAGGCTGTGTGTGCAGGGCTATCACCCTGCCTTCCAAGGAGCTCTGCCCTACCTTCCAGCAGCGTTTCAGTGCTACATCAGGAGAGCTCCTGGGAGATTCCCTGCTCAGAAACACCAGGCTGGCCGACTGAAGGAGTGTTACCTGCTGAACGCGGCTTCGCTGCTGCCCGTGCTGGCCTTGGAAGTGAAGGATGGGGAGAAGGTTTTGGATCTCTGTGCTGCTCCAGGGGGTAAATCAGTGGCTATCCTGCAGTGTGCCTGCCCAGGTGATGTATCCAGGGGCTGATCCCTGGCACTGTGTCTGTTTTCTGTACATCAGTTGGGTTGGGGGCAAAAAAGCCCAAACCACAATAGTTGTTCCACGCTGTTTAATAGAATATTTGTGAACTCAGTTTACCTAAAAGAGGATGAGAAATGCAGTAGTCACTTAACTCTGAGTTACTTTTGTCCATCAGTCTGCAGCAGAATAGCTCTGTGGGTTTTTTCCTCTGCTGGTTCCCTTGTTGTTACTTCTCCAGAAGTTATTTAAAGTCGTGTAGATTTGTTGCCACAGAGATGTAAATAATCTGCAATCTTCTTTTTTTCTTTTCCTCTGCTCTCTGTTTGGCCAGTGCTGTGCAAATATTGTGAATAAATTTAAGTGTACTGACATAAAACAGAGCATGACAAATTAAATGGGCAAGAAAGTTTATAATGAGGAATTGGTCTGTATCAGGATTTAATCAGCTCTGTGTCTGAAGCCACCCAGATGTTAGAGAAGGACTCTAATCAGAGTGTTTAAAAGGCAACAGCAAGCAGCAGCTCTGTTCTTCTGGGCCAGGGACTTAAAGCAAGTTGTAATTGTTGTTTCTAAGTTTATGTGTTAGTTGCTGGTGCTTTATTTATTTAAAAATTAATTAAATAATAAGGGGCATGTACTTCATTTGGACAGTGGCTCAAGGAGCCCAGAAAGGCCCTCACTCAGCCTGGTCTTTGGATACGGATTGTGATTAAATGGATTTGTTTTGCTGTCCCAGTCTCTCGGTACAGAAGTATTTGTCTGTAAATATTTATGGCTTTCTCTGTAGGGGCATGTGGAAATTTCCTTAGGTTTATAAAAATACAGCAACATTCTGAAAAGTGCAGTAACACAGACTTAAAAGTTTGTCAGCTCTAGCAAAGCAGTAGAACTTCTAAAATCAGTCTTAACTCCTTATATTTGTAAAAATAGAAAAAAAAAAACATAAAGATTTATCTTTGAGTGCTTATTTCTTTTTTTTTAAATTTTCTAAGGTCGGTTGCACTGCAATGAATTTGATGATTCGAGGGCAAGATGGTTGGAAGAGACCATAGAATCCTTCATCCCACAGCCTCTGATTAACTTGATAACGGTGTCTAAACTGGATGGCAGGCACATTGGAGATCTTAAACCTGAATTATATGACAAGGTAACTTTATTATTATTAGCCAATTATATTTCTGCATTCTGATTCTTTTTCTTCTTATGCTACTCTCTTTTTAATTCTTTTTTTTTTTTCTTTTGGCCCCCACAAAAATATCTGACTTACCCAGGGGTTTATTTTGGAGCACTAATTTCTTATCTCCTCACCTGATAACTCCATTAAAAACATCTCAAAATAGCAATTGGATCATTTCACCCCTGAAAATGGAAAATATAAAAGGGTGTTTCGAGTTATTTACAGAAGCAAGCTGAATAAATTTTTAGCACGTGGTGTTCAGAAAGTGAATATCTTTATTATGAGTGATCTTTTTTGCTTTTTATTGTGTAGGTACTGGTTGATGCTCCTTGTTCAAATGACAGAAGTTGGCTTTTCTCTTCTGATATTCATCAAGCTACACTCAGGCTGGTCCAGAGGAAGGAATTATCATCTCTACAATTCCAGCTCCTGAGGTGAGAAATGCAAAAGAAAGCTGTTCAAGCAGTTGTTTAATGAACAAACCCAGGATTCACCGTGTGAAAATGAAGTGAAGAATATGTGGTTGTGCTGCTTTTTAGAATAAACAGGCAACCTGGGTTCATGTGAGTGTGGAAATGTGGGTGGGGTGAGATCAGCAGTGAGCCCCAAGTCCTCTACTACCCTGCTGATGTTCTTAACTCTTAACTCACTCCTTCAAATACATGCCCATTCTCAGATGACTCTCACCAGTCATCTACAATGTCAGAATAGTTTTGGTGGCACAGCTAAAATGGTTCTTTATTATTTATTAGTCTTTTTGGTGGCTGAGCTGTGAGTCAGAGCTGGCCAGCAACCATCACTGTGCTCACTGGTCAACACTACTTCAGAATTTCCTCCTGGGCTCTTTGTGTGGAGAAGTTGAGTCCACTGCTGCACATTTTTACATGCTGCTGGAATTCAGTACCCAGCTGGCTATTTGTAGCTTCTGATTGCAATCAATAAGATAGAAACAAGTCAAACAGTGTGAGGTTTGGTGGGCAGAGAGGATTCTTTGCTTGTTTTTAAGAACATCCACCCCAAAATCCAAATCAAGGCTGTCATGCATTACCCATTTTAATGATGCCAGCCATAGGCTGGCATTTGGGAAGCATTTATAGCTCCGTGGTTTTTCTCTTCAGGATTAAAAAAAAAAAAGACTTCTCAACAGAACCTTCTAAACTTGAGTTTATTTGTGAAGTAACAGCCATGCCTGAAGTTCATCTGTCAAAGCAAATTGAGGGGAAAAATAACATATTGCAAACAAACAAACAAAAAAAATAGGAAGTTTTTATGGGAAGTTCCCATTGCAGCAGTTCAAGACAGTTTTGCATGAGTTCCAGTTGCAAAAGGGCCTTGCAGAGGCCTGTGATTTATAACAGAAATATGAGTATCTCATTGCAGTAATGCATCATGTCACCCATTTCCCTTGAAGAAATCAATCACATTTAAAACACTGACCTGGTTCTGCTTTCCCTTTTCAATATCTGGCATACAAAATCCAATTTGTGAACCTGCACCAAAAGGAAGCATAGATCATGCAGCAACATTGTGAGAATTGGCATAAATCATTCCAGATTGCAGTCCTGGAGAACTCATGACAGCAGGAACCTTGTCTTTAAAAAAAAAAGATACGTTCCTGTCAGCCCAAATCAGATTTAATTGAATTATTCCTAAATCAGGAGAAAGCTTTCTGTTGGAAATATATTTTACTCTTGCAACAGCAATAAGAATTAGATTGCTAAGGACAAGATAATTTTGGTATGTAAATTGTAGTAAAAGGATGGTAATTTCAATCTTATTGCTCAACATAGGTCTGAGTAGTTCTGTAGATCAACCAATCTATTGCTTTGTGCCCTGGATTTTTGATTGGGTTTTTTTTTGTCTTTTAAAATATTTTGGAGCATTTGAAATAAATGGTTAATTTCAAGAGGTAGGTATTATAAGGGTTGTTGGGTAGAATATTTGATGTATAGTTGTCCACTGTGTTGTTACTGTTCTTTTTACTTTAGAATGAATTCCCAGGACTAAAGACGTCTGAGATCCCCCACGAAAGGGTAAAAGGAAATGATAAAACGAGATCAGGAAAGGCTAAACATGGCAAGAGCATTAAAAGTTGAGCCAAACTAAAACTGTGGAATGCCACCCTATTCAAGTTTGGGTAGGGTGCATAATTATAAATTAAAATACTTGAGTTTGAATCCCATCCCAGATACTTCCAGTAATATTTGGAAGGGCTGAACTTACATCCATCTGGCTTTTCCCATGACTCAGCTCATGCAGGGCTGTGCTGGTTGGTGGGTTCAGGTTCCCTGGTGCTTTGTGCTCCCAGGAGTTTCTCACCTTGGTTCCTGTATCTGCTTTGACTTCATTTGAAGATGAAGCTCGAAGTATAAGGGCCAAGCATTATTCCAGTTTAGCAACAGCATTAAGAATAACATACAAATAAGAAGAAGGAAATCGAAGTGGAGTTCTATTTGTATTTCTGTCAAGCAACACTCAGCTTAAAATTTGAGATTCCCTTCTTCTGGATTGAAGAAATGCTTCACTTATAATCTGGTTTTCTGGATTGAAGAAATGCTTCACTTGTAATCTGGTTTTCTGGATTGAAGAAATGCTTCACTTGTAATCTGGTTTTCTGGATTGAAGAAATGCTTCACTTATAATCTGGTTTTCTGGATTGAAGAAATGCTTCACTTGTAATCTGGTTTTCTGGATCTGCTTGTGGGGGGAAGCTGGGGCATCAGAGAGAGGAGTGAAGGAAGGAAGCAGGGTTTGCAATAGGGTGTAATTATTTAAGTGAATAGATGCTCCAGAGAAGGAGGATCTGGAAGGAGTGTTGAAACGGCTGCAACAACCTTCCTAGTCCAGTCTGCAGGAAATCTGAAATGTAAATGAGTGGCATAAAAGCTGGACAGCAGGTTTTACAGGCAGTGAGGGCAGCACTGATTTGTAAGGATTGTTAGTACCGAAACCAGAGCATCCCTGCTGAGTGCTGTCATCCAAGAATGGCAAATCTCGTTGTTGTTGTTTGGAGTGTTCATTCAGAAAACAGATTGCAAAGCAGGGAAGGGATATTCATTTCCTGCTGCTAAATGCTAGCACAAAATACACTGGTTCTGAAAAGAGAATTTCCCAATGACAGAAATTAAATGTTAGGGCTAAGCTTGGATGCCTAATAATGTAATGGTTAAACTCATGAGTGTGTCTGTGAAACCACATCACTGATTTTCACATGTCAGAGAAAACAGCAGCTTTTAACCTCAGGTTTGTTTGTTTGTGTCCTGTGTTTTCACCAAAAATGTTTTGTGATGGGGTTTCATAGAATATGCACAGAGGTTTATTTGTTGAAAAAGAAGTGTCTTTTTTCACATAGTAGTAAATATTTACTGGAAAAATCACGATATTTCTTTTCCCTCATTCAGTGCCATCTCTGTATTTTCACTGAAATGCAGAGTTTCCCACTTGTATCTGGAAGAGGAATTGTCTGCTCTTAGTTGTGTGTGTGGGGAGGTTAAAATAAACGGTTTCTGATTTTATTAAGCCTTTGGCAACATCCTGAGAGGAACTTATGGATTAAGTCACTCAGGAAATGTTGCAAAACGAAGTTTACTGAATGTATAAATAACTGTATGAATAAACAAATAGGCTACCCAGTGGCTAGTCACTTGGTTTGGGGGTCACATATTTAAGTTTAGACACGAATTTTAAACCTTCAGTCCTTTCTATGTGTGTGTGTGTGTGTGTTCCAGAAGCAGTAAGGAAAACCTCTAACCCTGGAGTTGGGTGGCAGGGTTGGCTTCAAAAGCCTTTCCTTCTCCCTTCTGTAGCTGAGAAGGTTCTGCTTGGGTTCTGTGTGGTTTTTTTCTTCCTGTAAATAATAAGTGTAATTTGGGAAGAGGGATGGATGGAGCTGTGAGAGTGCCCAGGTTAGGAAGGTGGTTCTGGGATGAGTAAATGGCAGAAGAATTGAAGGTTTGTCTCAGGGGGCTGCATTTGTGGGATTTCATTGTTTGGTTTAGGGTTTTTTGGTGCCTGTGCCTACTTCTATTTACGGTTCAGTTTAATTCAGAAGAATTCAGTTCAGTTTCATGATTTTCCTGCTGTGTTTTTCTGAGCTGCAGTGTCTCTTTACAGCAGCAAAGCTTAGAGGGGAGCAGAGGGAAAGGGTGCTCAGGGTGTGGAGAGAGGACTTGAACTTTCTGCTGTGCACCTCTTTCACTGCCCATCACAAAGGATTCAAAAAGCAAACAACAAAAAAAACCTGGTGTTTTGACACAGGAGGAATTTCTTCATCATTTTGGCTTGATTTGAATAAATAAAAGCAAAATCTTTAACATGCACATCATATTGCCATAAGGTATCTGGACTCTAGTGAGAGTAACAAGGTGATGTGGGTATCTTTAGTCAATAAAAAGTATTAGGATTGAGGATAAAAGCAAATTACAGAGCAGGTAAGGTTGGAAGGGTCATCCCAGAGCACATGGCACAAGGTTGTATCCTTGAGATGCATTTGTTCTCAAACAGCTTCTAAAAAGGTCAGCATTTTTTATTCTGATGAGACATAATCTGGCTTACTGAGCAGAAATACATCTTAGCTGCCAAAAGATGGCACTGTTGAAGCGTTGTAGTATTTTAAAATTGCCCTAAAAAATACGGAGTCGTTTTACTTTAACACTGAAAATGGTTGGGTGATGAACATAATTAATACTGAGCCTTCCAATGGCTTGCAACATAAACCCGAGCACAGGAGGAGTAGGCTGGACATGCAGGGGGCAGCTAAATGTGTAATATTTGTATTTTTCTGCCCATTTTTTAAAGGGTGTTTGAGACACCAAGACTTTTAGAATGAAAAAAAAGTCAGCCTGTCATGTCTAATTTTCTGTAAGTGGGAAAAATCCTCTTTTTAGATTCTGGCTAACTACATTTTAGTGGCATGTAAAGGAGTTTTTTGGGCTTAGAATTCTGGCTCTCACATGGTGGTTTTTTTTTCCCCTGAGACATTAAACAATAATACTGCTCTGTTTTCCCTAATTTAGTAAATCTTCAGAAATAAACTAAAAACAAACAAACAAACAAAAGCTTTAAAATAATATCTTTCTTTTAAAAGTCTTACCTGTTACTCTTGCTGTACAGGGGGTTAGGGTAGATCAATGCATCTTTTGTGAATCTCATTCCTGTCATGCAGGCATCCAGCTGTTGTAATTCCAAACTGTTGATTAGAAAACATCATTAAAACTTCAGACTCTTTGCTGTCACTAAAGCCTAAGTTGGCACATGCTGGTATATAGTAAAGTTGTGTGAAAAAAACACAACTTTAAACAGCTGACTAAATTAGAAATGGTTGTACTACTTTTTTTTAATATATATATAGCTTTACCTTTTCGACTTTTACATGAGAAAAGTATTTTCTCACGTGTCTAAATGCTTACATGGTACCTGCCTTATAGGTAGGTTGTGCCAAAAGTATGTCTTGAATTTTTCAAGTCCCAACATTTTTGGGCGTTTCCAGGTGCCCTCTCATGGCTTGGCACTCCTGCACACGTGGAAAAGGTGGGGCTGGAGGGGAAAACTCTCTCAAAAATGAGTTACCTGAGTGGAATTCTGATAATAATAAGATCAGCTCAACTTTATGAGAGCCCATTTAGACTTCAGCCCTGTTCTCTTTGAGTTCTGATGTGAAAGCCAGAAAGTAAGATCTGTTACAGAAGGGGAAAAAAAATTAAAAAAAAGCTTTTAGATTTCCCAGAAGGGGCATGAGGGACAGCAGGGTTACAGCTGCTCTCTTTTGCTGTCTCAGGGGGGCAGTGTAAATGTTGTGCTGATACCAGTCTGCCACAGAAACGTTCCTAAAACGTTTTTGCAGGCTTGCAAAAGCTGCTCACAGGTGTGAGATGAGCTGGCAGGTTTGTGGTGGATCCTGCTCATTTTCAAAGTATCCTGGAATGAGTCCACCAGGCCCAGTTAAACTGAAAATATTTAGACTGCCAAAGTGCACTGTAACCTGTTTTTTACCTATAACAGGCTGAACTCAGCCATCTGCTCACTCTCCATCTGATAGAACTGATTTCTGCTGATACAACAGAGGCATTAAACACTTATTTTTCTTAGAGCATCATCAGTGGAGAGAGCTCTGTTCTCTCACTAAAACTGGAAAAGCATAAACTTCAGTAAAACACATACTTGGCTTGCTGACTGACACAATCAAGGCTCATAAAATAAATGTGGGGATGTGTGTGCTCCCAAGAGAAGCAGATTTAGCCCTCACCTGTCTGAACCAGTCACTTGTCCTGGTGTTTCCATCCTGTTTGGGACAGGATTTTCAGTGCAGCTTTCATCTCTGATTGGCTTTGATCCTGCTTGTGATGAAGCTTTTCTTTATTGATTCTTTTCCTGAAAAGTCCTAAAAGTTCTGTTAAAAGGGATTATCTTTTCCCCCTTATATTTTCTTCTTTCCTTTCTCAGCTGCTTTTGCTCAGAAATCACCTTTAGGAAGTTCTCAGCTTGTCTCTGGAGGAAATGCTGTTTTCATGCCATTGTATTCGTTTGTCTGGGCTTGGAATCAGACTTTCTGCCCTTGGAGGCTGCTCACCCCATTTATTTTGAAGAGTTTGTTGGGTTTTTCTTTCTTTTTGTTTCTCTTCTTTTTATTTTTTTTCCGGTATATTTTTTTTCTGGGGTTTGAGTGTGAACACAGAATTGTCAGTAATATCTACAAATCTGTGATTATTCAGTGTGGCTGTGTCATTGTGATCCATGCTTCCAGTTTTCCTGCCCTCCTGCACCTCCTAAATTCCCAGTGGCTCACCTGCAGTCCTCTCAGCCCTTACCTTTGTTTTCTCTCTGATATTCATAAGCTGAGTAACATCATTCACTTGTTCAGATTCTCTTGTTTTTAAACAAATAGGAGGAGCAATTGTATTTTAATGTGGTATCTGCTTGAGTATTATCTTACAATTCAGTCTTTAAGCCATATGTTTTTCAAGGCTATCATTTAACGGGATTTAATAGCAAATATTTAATAGCAAACCTTTATTGTAGCTTTCTCTTTTAGTAACATGCTGGTATCACATTTGCAGAATGCTCTTCTGTGGTGCAAGATTTTGGATTTTTCTCCTTAACTTTCCTAATTTGCAGGAGGTGAATATGGCTTGAATATCACTTCTGACTCTCACAGGTTATATTTGATGTTTCTGAAATACAAGGACTTTGCAGATCTGCTTTAATGCAGAGTAATCAGTTTGTTTAACCTCAGTTTCAGTGGTAAATTGATAAAGACCCTCTGTTCCCTTCACCCACCAGGAGTTATGAAGCTTTCAGGGTTTAAGCCACTATTTTGCCTTTGTGGAGTCAAAATTTGTCAACAGGTGAAGGGCACAGAAACAACAGATGAGCCTGAGGGAATCAGGTTGAAAAGTGAAACCCCCAAGTCCTCTTACCTGGGAAATAAATTGCAGAATTCACAGAAATGTTTCTAAAATTGCAACCCTGTACAGTCAATTTTATGCTGTTAAAGCATTTTCGTTGTGTTATTTTTGTCGTATTTATTTATACTCCAGATTTATAAGTCCTTACGTGTTCTCCCACACTAGAATGTCACTTCTATGTTGACTTTTTTTCCCTTTTTTCTTTTTTTTCGTTGCTGTTTTCAGGTCTGCTGCCAAAGCCCTGCGTCCTGGTGGCTGCTTGGTGTATTCCACGTGTACTCTCTCCAAGGCAGAAAACAGTGATGTGATAAACCTCACCCTGAGCTCCTGCAGCGATCTTGTGCCTGTGGATATCAGTGAGATGGGCAGGGCTGTTTCTCAGGAATTCACTTTTCTTGCTGGTTTGCAGCAGCACGAGCTCCTGGTCCTTCCAGAGAGAGGGAGAGCGTGGGGTCCCATGTACGTGGCTAAATTAAAGAAAATCTAGTCCAGCTGCTGCCTGTGGGCTCTTTGTGAGGAATAAATGATAAATTAATACTGATTTAGAATACAGGATGTGTATTTGAACATGTCCAGGGGAACTGAATTTAGAGCATTGTTGCCTAATAAAAAGGAAGCTAAATATTTAACTTATTTTGGCTTAAAATATTCAATGTGTCTTCAAATATGGACTTGTGGGCCTCTGGGAAGTCCTTATGAAGTCACGGGAGCTTTGTATTATTTTCAAGGTGGCACTTTTAAAGGGAGTTTTATTCTAGAATAGGGGCCTAATGTGGTGGAGGTTTCCACTTTTTTGGTTTGTGTTTTTCTTTTTTTTATTTATTAATTCAGTTATGACACAGTGTGGTTTTAAATAAATGGTTTCTATGGTCTGAGGTCACAGAAATCCTGCATTCTCTCTGAGCACATCCAGAAATCTGTGTTTTTGTGAGAACTGATTTGTATGTAGTGTGTCATCTTAAATGCTGACTATTCCACGCACTGGCAAACCAGGTTTCGTATTTGCAAAATTTGCCAAGCTGTTTACTGTTTAAAAGCTGTCTCTTGTTTACAGTTGCAAAGGTCAGCAGCTCTATGGGCACCAGCTTTTTATTTTTTATCTATTTGTTTATATTTTTGAGCTTGCAAAGACAGCAGCTTGAAAGAGTAAATTCCATTGCAATGTCCTGAAGGTCCAGCTGTGTTTGGCCTCGGTACTCAGTTTGTGACCCGATGCAGCGTGTCCAGAGAGCACGTTTGAAACAGAAGCAGAACAATTAATAAGCACAATAACAGCACGGGATTCAGAGGGTTTTGTTACGTAATTAGAGCCCTAAAGAGCAAAGCAGGCAATCTGGAAAGGTGGTTGATCCACCCAGGTAAGAAATGTGGCGTTGAATTCCCGATGGATGTCCTGTCTGTGGTGTGTAGGGCCAGGTGAGAACATGGACTGATGGGGTTTATGTCTTCCCTCCATAAATGTACAGGCAGATGTGCAGATGCAAACTGTGTTTGCCCTGTAAAAACTTCTGATCCAGCAGTGCTTGGATCGTGCCCAGGAGTGTTGGGGTGTATTTGTTCCATTTTTGTGCTCATCTGGAAGTAAAAAGGAGCCCTTTCCCCCCTCTCTGAGCAAAGGGTTCTTTCCCAGATGGAAGTTTATAATCATTGTTTTTAAGATTGGTGTTTTAAAGAAGAGAGGAGTTAAAGAAAGAGGGAGTTTGTGAGTTGCTCATGGGGAAATGGGGGGTGTGTGTGACTGTACATTTATATATTTCATAGAGTCACAGGATGGTTTGGGTTGGAGAGAACCTTAAAGATCATCCAGGTCCAGCTTCCCTGCTGTGGACAGGGACACCTTCCACTGGCCCACACCTGGTTTTGCCAGTGAATTGTAATTAAATTCAATTCTGTGTCCTTCCTCCTCGTTCCTGAGCGAGGCTGATGGAGAGGGGGTAGTAAACAAGCTGGGCTCTCTATCCTAGAGGAAATGGCAGTCCCAGGGAAAAGGCAGGTGCCTGCAGATACGGGAGAAGAAAATGACCATTGTGTTGGATTGTGGGGTCCCCAGAGAAATCTTCCTGCTCTCTGATGAAGGCAGTGACCAGAGTGTTTGTGCTGCTGCCCAGTGCCACATGCAGAGCACACACCAGTGCCAGCAGCACAGAGACAGCTGGAGTTCAACCCCTCCTGTGCTCTTCTGCCATTCCCTTTTCCAGCACACAAAAAGCCACTCCCCTGTTGGTGTCGGGGGAGTTGGCACAGTAAGAGATGAAAGGCAATCTCAGCACTGGCCAAGTTTTATCCTTTATCCAGTGGCATCTGACACAGTTCAATTATGGCTTGTCAAAAGCATTCTCCACTGGGAGACAGAGGAGAAAACCAGGTGTCTGTGGACTGATACAGTAGATTAGGGGGACTGATGAACTCCTGGCTTTCTTAGCAAAATGTGCCAAGAGAAGGTGAAGCACGTTGAGAGGGAGGTAAAATGGAAAGATCAGGACTGCAGCAGTGGGTGAGAAATGTGAAATATTGGAGGAGAGACTCTGGCTTTTAGCTTGGAAGAGCAGCAGTGCTGCACTCTGTCCAGGAAAAGATCCACGAGAGGGGAGAGGGGAGAGTTCCTTTAGGGGGGAGAGA